ATACTATAGAGCTGTAAAAATGAAGGATCTTTTATTCTTTGGCACAGCATGGAGGGAACTAGAAAGTATTATGCTAAGTGAAATAAGCCAGTCAGAGAAAGACAAGTACCACATGGTCTCACTTATATGTGGAATATAACAAACAAAATAAACTGATGAACAAAGTAGATCCAGAGACATAGAAGCATGAAACAGACTGAGGGATCTCAGAGGGAAGGCGGGGAGGGGAGTGTGGGTGGGGAGAGATTAATCAAAGAACTTATACATTTATAAGCGTAACCCATAGTCACAGACATTGGTATAGGGAAAGCCTGGGGGTGGGGTGAATGTGGGTGGAGAGGATCAATGGGGATAAAAAGGGGACATCTGTAATATTCTCAACAATAAAGATAAACCTAAAAAAAAAAGAAAAAATAGATGTCACTGTGTGCAAGAAATAATATCTTTATAATATTAGTTATGCAGAGTTTACATGCATAAACATGAACATGATAATTATATTACTAAACAATTAAGGAAGAAATACACTCTATTTATTGAGGGCCTATACTATAGAAGGAAATGTGGAACTATTTTGATAGGGTACTTTGGTAAGCCTTTGGGGGGGAGGGAATCAACCAATGAATGCATAAACAAGTGGAACAACAAATCGATGTTTCTCTCCCCTTTTCTCTCTAAAATCAATTAAAAAAAAAAAAAAAAGATTGGGTACTGCTACTCTCATTTCCTGTGCTGCATTGATTTTTGAAGAATACTTGCTTTTTATTACAGCAACTGCCAGAAAACCATCTTCACAAAGATATATCATCAAAAGGCATGCAGTAGTCTAATGTTAAAAGTATGCACTACCTTGAGTTAGTATTCACAGGGTCAATGACAGACACTGCATTTCCTTGTTGTGCTCCAGGATGCATTAAGACACAGTTTGGGAACCAAAGTCCTCTTCTACTTTGAGTTTCTGGGAGGCTGTGGACCACACCATTGAGTTTCTTAGAAGTCCTGTTGCCTGTTTGAAAGGCTCTTTGAGGCACCATTTTAAATCCTTCCAAGATCTTAACAAGGGGTTTACAGCCATGGCCCTCTTTACACCCTGTTTTCCTGACACTGCCCTTCATTTCATCTGTTAAGAAGCCATTTCTAAATTTTAGTATTGTTCTGTCTGGAGGGGCTAACAATGAGAAACATCGCCCAATCATATAACTGAGATTTGCTTTTCAGATATAGATGATAGAATTTCTTAGGTCTTAGGTTTGGAGTGTACAGTAACCCCTCAAATTCCATGTATCTGTTTTCTTTAGACAAATATTCCTAGAAGTGAAATTGCCAGGTCAAAAGATATGTATATTTTTAGGTTTATGATGTATGTCAACAAATTGCCTGCCAAAAGTTATGCCAATTTACGTGTCCACTAAATAGTATCTTTCACTTCATTAGGGTTCCTTTTCTGAAATTGTTTGTGTCACACAGTTCATTTTAAAGAAGTTCAGAAGCACAGAAGGGTATAAAGTAAAAAAGTATGTGTTCATGAAATAGTCTGAATTAGAGGATAGAATAGATTGTTAAAAGATATTTTTAAAAGTTCTCATCACCACCTGGCTGGTGTGGCTTAGTTGGTTGAGCATTGTCCTGTGCACCAAGAGGTCGCAGGTTCGATTTCCAGTCAGGGCACATGCCCAGGTTGTGGGCTCGTTCCCCAGTAAGGGGTGTACAGGAGGCAGCTGATCATTGTTTCTGTCTCTCCCTCTCCCTTTCTCTCTAAAAAATCAATAAAACATATATATATATATATACTTATATATATATTTTGTTACTGTTTTTTAAATATATCTTTATTGATTTCAGAGACAGGAAAGGAGAGGGAGAGAGAGAGAGATAAACATCAATGATGAGAGTCATTGATCGGCTGCCTCCTGCACGCCCCCGACTGAGGATCGAACCCGCAACCTGGGCATGTGCCCAGACCAGGAATCGAACCCCATTTGCCTGGATCCTAGGTTGACACTCAACCACTGAGTCATGCCTGGCTGGGCAACATATATATTTTTTAAAAAATCTATGTAGAAAGATCCCTGTATTTTGATGATAGAGGATTCCCCCACAATTTTTGTTAATTAGAATATTTCAAATTATAAACCCAGAAGTTATGACTATATAAAGAACACCATTGTCGTAAAACATATGGTTCTAAAAAATCAATACTCATCTATAGTCTTTGCATACTCTGATCAAATAGGGTGTCCCAAAAAAATGTATACACACTGTAACAGCTGATAGCTCAGTTTTGAAAATGAAATATATTTTAATAAACACTGCCTTTATAATTACTCAAAGTGTATGTATACATTTTGGGGGGACACCCTATGTATACAATGGGACCTTGGTTCTCAAACTTCTTTCATTCCAGAAGGCTGTCAAGAAGCAATTTGTTCGAAAACCAGATCATTTTTTCCCATTAGAAATAATGTAAACTGAATTAATCCATTCCAGACCCCTAAATGATTACATTTTAACCTTTCTTGTATAAAGTACATGTCTGATGTACTGTTTAATCTGTGAACAAACATTTTCTGAAATTTATCAAACCACCCCCTACTAGCCTTAAACAAATCACTTTGAGCATTTGGTCCAGGGGTGCTGCATCTTCCCTTTGTCACATAGCACTGCCTCTGAAATGCCTTCACCTGCTAACTGGCTAACTAACTGCTTTCTATTTCTCCAAATCAACAACAGTTTTGTTTTGTGAGCACTTTCACACCCTTAGCAACATCCCCACACTTGGCCTCTTTATGTTTTAAAACAATTTCTTGAGATGTTAACAACAGGTTTAGCAGTAAACTGACTCACATTTTCCTTTGTGGCCTGAAAGACACTTTTTGTCATGCTCAAAGGATTTGTCAGGTGGAGAACTGAAGTGAGCCATGGGAGACATTCGAGAACCAAGGTTTGACTATATTAAAATTTGAAAATAAACTTCACGAGTAGTTGATGAAAAAAACAGTGATTTGAGATAAAGTTTAAGCCTTATTCAAAGGTAGCAGTCGAAAGCACATTTCTTTTCAACTGTTATATTTCCTCTTTTCATTCAGATTTTAGATTTCCCATATCTTAGTAAAGTCCTTAAAATCTTTATCCAACAACTTCAGGGATTTGGGAACTTTGATTTGCATATTAGACACTAGATCATACTATAGAAAGCCAGGTATACCAAAACATTAATTTGGGTCCCACTCATTGAGATCTCAGTGAGTTAAAAAATGTAAATAATTTCTTTTTATGTCTGGCATATTTTTTGTTTTGTTTTTTAATTTTTGAAGAATTTTTTTGCCCGGCCAGGCGTGGCTCAGTGGTTGAGCATCGACCTAGGATCCAGGCAATCGAGGTTCGATTCCTGGTCAGGGCACATGCTCGGATTGTGGGCTCGATCAATGACTCATCATTGATGTTTCTATCTCTCTCCCTCTCCTTTCCTCTCTCTGAAATCAATAAAGAGACATAAAAAAAAAAATTTTTTTTTTTTTTAATTTTTTTAATTGATTTTAGAGAAGAAAAGAGAAACATCGACTTGTTCCACTTACACATTCATTGGTTGATCCTTGTATGTGCCCTGACCGGGAATCGAACCCACAACCTTGGCATATCAGGACGACACTCCAACCAACTGAGCTCCCTGACCAGGGCTACCTGGCATATTTTTCTATTAATTTACCCTAATTTACTGAAGAGTAGCACTTTTTTAAGCCTTTTGATATGGAAAATTTAAAACAAAGTAGGTCTTGGCCCGGAGCTTGGTTGGTTAGAATGTCATCGTTCCCATACACCAAGGTTGGAGATTTGATCTCCGATCTACAGTCAGGGCACATACAAGAGTCAACCAATGAATGCATGAATAAGTGAAACAACATGTCAAAATAAATAAACAAAATTAAATAATGAACCCTTTTATACCTGTCACCCTGCTTCAGTAATTGACATTTTGCCATTCTTGTATCATCTGTGCTTTCGCCTACTTTCCATCTTCTACTTGATGATGATGATGGCTTTTTTTCAGGTAAAATTTACGTAAGTGTGTAAATCTTAGTTGCAGGATTTTGACAAATGGATCTGCCCATGGAACCCTCACACTTATCAAGATTCAGAGCATTTTCCATTTTTATCTTCCCTGGCAGCATACTTCTGTCCTGAGGCAACCACTATTCTGATATTTTCATCTTAGGTTAATTTTTCCTGTTCTAGAACTTGATATAAATGGAATCATACAGTATATACCATTTTTACTAACTTCTCTTATGCAGTTTCTGTTCTTTTGTTGCATGGGTAAGTACTATTCCACTTTATGGATCTATCACAATTTGTTTTTCTTGTGCTGTTAAACATTTGGGTTGTGTCCAGTTTTAGGCTATTATGAATAAAACTTCTCTATGAACGGGTTTAGCCACTTTTATATTTGCTTGTAATATATACTGTTTTTGAAATAAAATGGCACCTAATTTAAAACCCACTAATTTATCATTTTTAAGGCTGATCCCTATCCCTCTACCTTAATACATTTTTCTGAGTTAGTATTATGTTTCATCAAGTATCCATTCCACATTTAAGTTTATATAAAACTGATACCTAATGTTTAAGAATTCTTGATTTTGTCAGAAATTGAATGATGCTTTTTAAAAATATATTGATTTTAGAGAGAGAGGAAGGGAGAGGGGGAAAAAGAGAGAAACATCGACATGAGAGAGAAATGTTGATCTGTTGCCTCCTGTTGCACCCCTACTGGGGACCGAACCCTTAACCTGGGCATGTGCCTTGACAGGGAATCAAACTGTCAACCTTTTAGTGCATAGGACAAAGCTCAATGAACTGAGCCACACCAGCCAGAGCTGAATGATACATTTTTGAACAAAAAACATTTTCTCTGAAAAAAACATTTTACTTTCCACTAAACTAGTGGCATGATAAGTAATGCCTCTTTTTTCTTTCCAATTGTTTTTCATTTTCTTTTTCAGAAGTGAGTCACTGAGTCCTGAGTTGGTGGCTGCTGCATCTGCTGTTGCAGATTCTCTCCCCTTTGACAAGCAGACAACCAAGTCAGAGCTGCTTAGGCAGCTCCAGCAGCACGAGGAAGACACAAGGGCACAGAAAGATGGAGAAAGACCTAAAATTAGGTTAGTGAATCAAGTAGTTGTGTCAGTAATGCTCAAAATAGGCTGTTTTCATGTAATTGATGAGTAATATGCATAATATGTTCATTTATATGTAACATATGCCTCAGAAATGGAATAGTAGCAATTTGCTTTTTTTAAAAAAACTTGTGTCTTAGGTAAGATTATAGGTTGTTTTATTTTATTTTATTTTTTGCTAACCCTCACTTGATATTTTTTCCATTGATTTTCAGAAAGAGTTAAAAAAAAATAGATGACTGGACTGTCAGTCATATCACTCATTTATTTGTATTTGAGCAAATACAAGGCAATAAATATGGCTACATTTCATCTTTAATTTAGTTTTTTAATCTATGTGATAAGTATACAGATATTGATTGTATATCAACTGCTCTAGATGCTTGATAATTTTACATAAGTGACACTTTTAATTTATATTTTAAATGAACACATCTGAAGAACATCTTTTTTTTTAATTTTTATTGTTTACACTATTACAGATGCCCGATCTCCCCACTCCCTTTTTGATATCTTTGAAACACAGAAAGAAACAAATCTTAGTAGTCTATGGAATGTGAATGTTCATATGTGATATAAATCTTTTAAATGTAAATTATGTTGTATTACTGCATAGATGTGAAATAAAATTTAAATGATAAAATTTAAGTAGATGAAATTTGTAACGCACTTGACGTTTTCTTATTTCAGTTTCAGTAACATAATATCAGATATGAAAGTTGCCAAATCTGCCACAGCTAGAGTTAGTACAAGACCAGTTCATCAGATTCAGTTTGATGAAGGATCTGACAGTTCTGTTGACCAGGAGAAGACAGTCGATCTTAGAAAAAGGTATTGAAACTTTTCAGTCTACCTGGTTTTGTTTGTTTCACTGTAGGTTTACTTTATTGCTGTGCATATAATTGCTGATAGGTATCTGAACATTATGGATGTGTTTATATTGGTCTTACTCTCCATATACCATTTCCTAGAGAGGGAAAGATTTTTTTTTTTAATTTTTTGATTTATTGATTGATTTTAGAGAGAGAGGAAGTGGAGAGAGAGAAAGAGAGAGAGAGAGAAACATCTATCTGAGAGAAACACATAGATTGGTTTTCTCCTGCATGCACCAGGGATTGAGCCTGCAACCAAGGCATGTGCCCTTGACTGGAACTGAACCCAGGACCCTTCAGTCTACAGGCCGACACTCCAACCACTGTGCCAAACCAGCCAGGGCTTCTTACACTTTTCTATACCATAAATTTAAATGGGCCCTGCCTTACCTTTACCCCTGGGGAATAGAGGTCTCCTGATTTAGAATAGGTAGAGCTGACTGTATTCTGAACAAATGAACGTTTTGAGAGAGGCATTATTTTTCATCCTGATATATGCCTAATAATATATGTTCATATACCCTTTCTATATATAATCATACCTTTTTCATACCTTAGAAATAACCCACCATCAAAGAAAGATCCTATAATACCTAAAGTCGTAGATTATTTGTGGCAATTCGAATTTAGCAATTTGCAGTTCTTAGAGATGCTAAGCCCTGCCTTACATATTTTATAATAGAAAGCTGTCTATATTTACATAAAGTTTCTGTTCTTTTTCTCTCAAGCCCATAAAGTGATAGTTGGGGAGGGGGAATCAGATATTTAGCATGGTCTGACAAAAACTAACTCAACTTAATAGCAGATGTGCTCACAAATGGAATGTTTTTGGTGTATATTTTATGGGTTTTAAATACAATCTCAGCAGTTTGAGTTAGCTCCTTCCAGGTGTTAAATTACTAATTTGTACAGGAAGATTGGAAAAGATGGTCAGCAGTTAACAAAGGAAGTTTAAGAGGTTATAGTGACTTTGGAAGATTATTTGAATTACTAACTTAAGTGATTTTATAGCTATGATATATTATTGAATGAAGTAGAATGTTATTAGAGTTTTACTTAAGATTCCTCAAGAATATTTAATTGAATCTTTTTTGAATCAGCCTTTGAGGTAATTCCATGCAACTTCATCAGAATGCTGTATCATAGTTTGATTTTTTAATGGTATTAGCTATGATTAAAAATTAGAAGGTAGCAAGGGAGAAGCTAAAAAAGTGAGAAAGTGGTTTATGTGCATATGACTATGTTAAAAAGCTGACTAGAGAACTACAGAGTAAGGGAAGGCAATGGTGAGATACCAAGTTGTTCACCCTGCTCAGACTTGGGACAGCCTGAGACAGTCCAGGCTGGACTGATTTTTTTCTGTTAGAGGCAGAGAGGCGTGAGTCACAGAGTACTGGCTTTGGAGTCACACTGACTTGCCTCAGAATCTTTGTGCCACTAATTCTGTGACTGGGGACTTTCAGAGCCCCCTCAGTCTGTTTCCCCATCTATAAAATGCTGAAAGTGAAGCCTGACTTTAATGTCTTTCTTGAAGAATAGGAAAGAAACTTGTAAACTATATGTAGTAGATGCACAGCAACTATCTTTTCCTTCCCTTCCTCTTTAGTACATTGTGCTTTTAAAATTCCGTACTTTGCTGAATCATTCCCTCTTTACTGTGAGTTACTTTAATCTATCATCCTGTTCACCTGACTTCAGGTTGAGAGACTGCTGGGTGGGGAGAAGAATGCAAGGCACTGAGGATAGTACTGGAGCATAAATGCCTTTGTTTACAAATACTTGGAAACCTGCTTGAGGGAAATGTGTGATGTGAGATCACCTTGTCTAATTTTAATATGGTATTTACATTTTTTTCAGTTTAATTTAGTAGAAAAAAGTAATTTGATCCAGAAATTAATTCAAAATTATTTTAAAAACTAACCCTACCTTTATAAACTGGTTTTAGTCTGCCAGTAAATGTACTCAAGTATGACTGTGACTTGAAGCATAAAGCAATTGATTAAAATATACAAGGAAAAGTTCCCTATTAACTGTCTGACATTAATTTCAATAGTTAAAAATAGTTAAAGAAAGTTAATCATTATTTTAAAATTACAGAACAATTGCTTTGTAAGTGGGAATGTTTTGATTTATCTGTGCAATCATTTATATTTATAATTTGTAATTAAACATGCAGTGTTTTCTGCCTTTAAAAAAAATTTTGACTTTAACAACTTTTGGGGGGTGCTTGTTGGGTTCATTTTGTTTGGGACTCTGCACTTCCTAGACTTGTATGTCTATTTTCTTTGCCAGGATAGGGAAGTTTTCAGTTGTTATTTCTTCAAATAGGTTTTCAATTCCTTGCTGTCTCTCTCCTCCTCCTGAAACCCTTATGATGCAAATAGTGTTATGCTTGATGTTGTACCAGAGGTCCCTTAAACTGTCCTCATTTTTAAAAATTCTTTTTTCTTTTTGTTGTTCTGATTGGGTGTTTTCTGCTACCTTGTCTTCCAAACCACTAATACAATCCTCTGCTTCATCTAACCTGCTGTTGATTCCATCTAATGTATTCTTCATTTCAGTTTTTTTATTCTATATTTCTGACTAGTTCTTTTTTATGGCTTCTATCTTTTTGTATAAATTTTCACTGAGTTCATCTACTCTTCCCCTAAGTTCATTGAGCATCCTTACAATCATTGTTTTGAACTCTGCATTTAGTAAATTGCTTCCCTCCATTTTATTTAGTTCTTTGTCTGGAGTTTTGTTCTGTTTTTCCATTTGTTATATGTTTCTTTGTCTCCTCATTTTGGCTGCCTCCCTGGGTTTCCCTCTATGTATTAAGTGGATCTGATTCATCTCCCAGTCTTAGCAGTGTGGCCTTATGTGGTAGGTATGGGGCTAGGACCCTTTACCCCTCAGGGAAGACCTCTGCATCAGATATATTCTTCCAGTTCATAACTGACCAGTCATTTCACATCTCTGCCCCTTTAACCAGTATCACAAAGGCTGCTTCTTTATATCCTTAATTATAGGAGTTATGTTTTGTTAGTCTTTAGGTGGTTCTATAATTTGGTTGTAATTTTTTTTCTTAGTTGTAATTTTGATACGATCTTGGAAGGAAGCAAGCATAGAGTTTACCTATTTTGTCTTCTTGACTGGAAGTTCTGGATTTGTTTATAACAACTTCTAACTTTGCATATTTTGATAGCTTCCCACAACATTGAGTTTTCTAAAACATTAATATGAGGTGGAGCAAATAAAAATTTTGGCAAATTAGACTAGTCTTTCCAGTTACGTATTTTAGAAATTAGACTGCTTTAACTGCTTCATTGTATTATGATATAAAAATTCAAGTTCATCTGTTCCTGTTTTTAGTTATCAGTCCTAAAGATATGGTAGTTTAGTTAAAATGTCTGTTGTCCTTCAGTGGAATTATTTTTATACCTACATTGAATATTGTATATAATATTTTTCTCTCATAAGCAATTTTTGTTGACAGTTTATAAAAATATTCATTAAATAATTTTTTTTATTTTAGGAAAAGTATATTCAAGGGGAAGAGACTTAATATTTTTGATCTTAAGGCAGCTACTGAAGAGGCATCTGAAACAGGTTTGTTGAGAAAAGAACAACACTATTTCTCAGGTATAGAAAAATTCCATCTTTCAAAAATACCCGTAATGTTTGAGTGCATCATAATCAGGTATTTTAGTATTCTGTTCTGTCATTGGCCTATATCCTGCATATGAATGTACTTGTTGACTTTGTAGTCTTCGTCAGATTTTCATCTTGAAATGTTGCATCCTACCATTTGCAGTGTACCTCTGTACTATTATGGAAAGATACACTGTTTTCTGCCCTAAGGCATCTCACTGTCTAGAATTGGAGATAGCATCTATAGATGTAACATACTGGTTTAGGGATTGCTTAGGAGATTGGAAGAAGAGCATTCAGAGAATATATGTAGCAGGTTAGTAGTGTTTTTTTGTTTTGTTTATTTGTTTTTAAATATATCTTTATTGATTTCAGAGAGAGGAAGGGAGAGGGAGAGGGAGAGAGAGATAGAAACATCAATGATGTGAGATTTGTTATTGATTGGCTGCCTCCTGCACATCCCCGACTGGGGATCAATTCCACAACCCGGGCATGTGCCCTGACGGGGATTCAAACCTCGATCTCCTGGATCCTAGGGTCGAGACTCAACCACTGAGCCACACCCAGTCGGGTGAGTATTTTTTTCTTAATACACAGTCTGTTCTCTATTCTTTTTCCTTTCTTCTTTGTGCAAGAAGTCAAATCCTTCAAATTAGCCATATTAAGTCTAATTAAAAAAGAAATAAGAGTATCTTTTTGCTTGGAATTAATTTTTTTTTTTTAATCATCACCCAAGGACATTTTCTCCATAGATTTCTATCGAGAGTGGAAGTGAGGGAGGAGGGTTGGGCAAAGAGAGAGAAACACCAATGTGAGAGAACACATAGATTGGTTATCTCCCAAACGCCCAGACTGGGGCAGGGAACCTGCAACTGAGGTACATGCCCTTGACTGGGAATCAAACCTGTGACCCTTTGGTCCCCGAGCCAACAGCCTAACCACTGAGTCAAACCTTCCAGGGGACTTGGCATTAAGTTTGACTTACTGATAAAATAAATGAAGAAACTCAATACAAATGGCCTCCAGTTTACATGCGACTTCCTTTTCTAAAGATTATAAGTTAGCTTTTTGGACCTTGGTAGACATAGTTTTATATTTGATATTTAAGTTCCTGGCCAACCTCCAGTGGCTCATTTAAACTTTCTATCATTTATTTATATAAATATCTGATTTTCTCACTATTCAATAAATTCATGATATTAATGACTAGGTCTTAGTGATCTTTGTATACCCAGCAGCACCTAGCCAAGTGGCTTACAAATAATAGGAATTAATTATCTTAAATCTTAATCCTTTTTTGAACAAATTGAGCTAAAAATATATATCCATAGAGGAAAGGAGTTAATTCAATTAATGTTTATTTAAAACAAAGGTGAAGCTAAGAGTACACCCTCCCCCTCCCTCTTGTATTGTGGAGACTATATTCTGTTCTATGTGATCAAAAGGAAATGCACAGGCATCAGGAATGGATCACCTCTCCCCTGATGAAATGGCAACTGTTAAGCTTGCCTCAAAAAGGGAATTTGTTGTCAGGGCAAGTGCAATTGTCCATCTAATGAACAGCCAGAAGAGGCACTTGGATTCTTAAAGAGCCAGCTTGCTTTTTTAAAATCAAATTTTATTTCTAAATCTGAAATTATTTAGCGAAGAAGTACTGAAGTCATATGTATTTTATTAAATAGTATAAAATAGCCCGGCCAGCATGGCTCAGTCGTTGAGTGTTGACCCATGAACCAGGAGGTCACGGTTCGATTCCCCATCAGGGCATATCAGGATTGTGGGCTCAATCCCCAGTGCAGGGCGTTCAGGATGCAACTGATCAATAACTCTCTCTCATTATTGATGTTTCTATCAGCCTCTTCTTCTCCCTCTCCCTTCCTCTCTCTGAAATCAATAAAAACATTTTAAAAAAATAGTATAAAATAATTATACTCTAATAAGGAAAATAATGCACAAATTTATGTCAATTTACTCTAAAGAAGGTACTGTTTTAATAAGCTATACTTGCATTTGAATGTCATTTGTCCCCAGTTAAATACAAGAATTGCAATAATGTATGAACGTAAATTTAGTATTTATTCACTATTGTTTTCCCTCCACCTAAAATAATGCCTGACTCATAGTTGGCATTCAGTATTTATTTATTGAACAAATGAATGAGTTCTCCTGTCCTATGATTTCCATATTTTGTTCCCCACTAAGTTCTTACCAGTGCTGCAAAAGATATAGTCATAGGCTCTATTGCTTATCCTGGAGAGGTTTGGTGTTGGGTCTCTGGATTTTTCAACTTCAGATTCTGCTATACTAACCTCTCTGAGTTTCCCTTCCCCCACCTATAAAATGGGGCTAATACATCTCAAGGATTAAATGAGGTAATGTAATTAAAGTATAAGGCACAGTGCCTAGATCACAGTGGATATTCAATAAGTAGTTGCAGCTATTAACATTAAAAAATGATGCTGGTGATTATCATCATGGGAAAGACATAGGTTGACCAGTGTCCACTGAATGAATTTTAAAAGTGTGACCATGCAAATTAAGTTTTTTTACTAATATTACTCTGTAAATGTGGCTAATAAGCCTAACTACTGTGATCTTCTCTCTGTATCAGATGTTCTAGGCCAACATACTTAATATCCAGCAGTGTGTGGTTAGGCATAGTCATACATGAACTTTCATGTATAAGTCTTTGTATGGACATACGTTTTCTTTTGAGTAAATATTTAGGAGTAAAATGGTTGCATGATAAGTATATTCTCAACTTTTTAAGAAACTGCCAGGCTATTTTCCAAAGTTGTTCTACTGTTTTACATTCCTTCCAGCATTGACTGGTGGGAATATGACTCATTCTTGAATGATGTCTTAAATTTTCAAAACAAATGATTGAAATGTGATATGATGGTGCTTATAAGCTAATATTGTACTACCTTACTCATTAAGAGTTAGTTATGAGGATTAAATGAACTAATGTGCAAAAAACATTTAGCACAGAGTAAGTTCTCAGTATCCATTAGTAGTAGTATCATTATCATTATTATTATAATCATGTTAATTTTTCTTTGGCCTTTATTAGTAGTACATTAGTGATTTATCTTAAGAGACTAAAAATAAAGATAAACAGGCTGGACTTTAAAGATCAGAGTCACATGTTGTATAAAAAATATCATTTTTATAAAAATATCTTTAAACAGAATACACATTTCTTTTTTCCTTTCCAGTAGAGGGGGCAGTGAGACTTTGGGGGTTATTTACCTAGCATTGTAGTAGAGGTTAAGGCTTGCAGTTATTGTACTTGTAGTCTTTATATATCATTTGTTTCAGTTTTAACTCCAGAGAGTAACCATTCATTGTATAGTATTTTATTATGAGCTTCAAGGTATGAAAATATATTACCAACTCAGAGTTGATTATAACATTTTTAAAAAGAAAGATATTGACATTGACTTGGGCTTATTTGAAATGTTTTTGTTATACAGAAACATCACCTTCACTTTGGGACGTGGAATTTGCTAAGCAGTTAGCTGCAGTAAATGAACAGTCCTTTCAGAATGGTTTTGAAGAGATGATCCAATGGACGAAAGAGGGGAAACTGTGGGAGTTCCCAATTAACAATGAAGCAGGTAAGTTTTAACTCCAGAGGTTTATAAAATTCATTGAAATTAAACCTGGCAGATGTTCAGTTATAGAATCTAGATATTTACTTGATTTTCAAACTGTAAGTATCCTTGTGGTGTCCTAAAAGAAATCTGACAGTATTTTTGAGAAGAATGTTAGAATTTCACTTAATTCTAGGTATTTGGTAAGGAAAACGAAGAAATGCATCATGAATTTTTGTGCATTAAAAGTGTTGAGAACTGTCAGTGGTAACAGTTTTCTAGTTGCTAAGCAGAAGATTACCTGGTAAATCTTCTGATACACTAAATAATGATACGAGATTATACTTTAATTTTGGAGAACATTACAACTCTTAAAGTCTTATGCTGGTATCTTATTTGTAAAACCGTTACATCAATGAGCTGCAAGTTTCTTGTGCTCAGAGCCACTCAAGGCAAAAATGTTGGGAGGCTTTGAAATTCTTTGGAACTCTTTAGCTATACATAGATGCTTTGAACTGGTAATAAAATATTATCTACTTTCCTGGAAATTTTTCTGGATTTGTTACTGCCTCCTCCACAATCGAAAGGAAATCGGTATTACTGTGCTATTTATTTTTTATTGCACCCATGTTGTCATCAGCTAAACAGTTTCATTGAATTTTATCGATGTATTTTTAATTAGAAGAGATTAATTTGCTTTTATGTTAAGATTAGCTAAAAGTTGTAAACACCTCATTAATTCTTGGAAAATGTAGTCTGTATTTTAACCTTTATAGTTTTCTGCTGTCACTGTAGTATTTTAATTTTTTATAACCTTTCATTTGTTTGGATTAATAAATAGAGTGGAAGCTTAAATATCAGAAATATTTAGTCTTATATTTTCATAAAGTATTACTTTGTATAAAATAACTTTAGAGACTTGCAAATCCTTTAGCAAATTTTTATATTTTGTATATTTGTATTGTATATGCAATAATATAGCATCCTGGGTTTAATCTGTTTTATAGAACATATTTCTTACAGTTTTGTGGTTTATATACTCTAAGGTACCAGGGTAAAGTAAAAAAAGAAAAGAAAAAGGGACTTTTTAGTTGTGTAAACCTGAGTATAGATCCTCAACTCTGTCAGTTATTAGCTATTTGTCTTTGAGGAAGTTACTTAACCTTTTGAGCCTTAGTTTTCTCATCTCTAAGATTCAAGAATATAAGAATTAAGTAAGATAAAGTTATGTTGCTCAGCACAGATCTTGGCATGTAATGCATATGAATAAATGTTAGTTTCTTTCCCCTCCTGGATGAACATAGAATTTTAAATGGAGTGAAAAACTAGCAAAATACAACATGTAATATTAAAGGAAGATTTCATTATTTAATGTAATTTGGGTGTTCTAAGTCTTCCTGGTTAAACACATGGTTTTCAACCCCAGTATTGAGCCCTGGCCCAGTAGCTTAGTTGGTTAGAGCATTCCCCCCATACACCAAGGTTGTGGGTTCGATCCCTAGTCAGGGCATACACAAGAATCAGCCAGTGAATGCATAAATAAGTGGAACAACAAATCAATGTTTCTTTCTCTCTTCCTCTCTCTAAAATAAATTTAAAAAAAAATTTTAAACCAAGTCTTGAGGTAGAATAACGTATGATTTTATTTAGGAGAGACAGTGAGGTATAGTGATTAGGAATTCAAGTTCCTGGGTGAGTTACAAACTTAAATCTCTCCAAGCCTTGCCTCCCTCATCTATAAAGTGATGGGAATAATAATAGGACTTATTTTATGGGATTCTTCTTAGAAACAAGCGAGATTGTACAAGTAAAGCATCATCGCCATCATCTTTCCAGTTTCTACAACAACAGTATTGTGAGGGGATTTGCTGCTGTAACTATTTTCTGTTCTATGCTGTAACATTTAAAAATCTTTAAATATTAACAAGGATATTATGTATTTTCTAGGAACTACCAAATAGGGTAATAGGAAAGCATGAATTGGTGGTACATTGTCATCAACAGGAAAATGCTTAAGTTCATTAAAGAGTTAAGTGTCCAAACTCCAAAGGAATTTATCTTAAATTTGACCAGGTTTTTGAGAAAGTTTAATTTTTAAAAAAGGAAAAAAACATGTTTTTTTGTCAAGTTATAGAGATAAATGTGACAAGTATCCATATGTTCTGTACATATTGTTGATGCTTCAGGGTCAGAAAGGGAAGTATCTCATTTTCAGCTCCTTAAGGTAATTGTTACCTCAATGAAAAACAGGAAAGGAACTGTGGAAATTTTCTCACTTGGTTACTCCCCTCAATACAACTTAGGAACCTCTGAGTACTTGGAGAGCCTGGAATTAGTACCTGGAGCCTCAATAGTTCAATAACATTCTTTTAGATTTCTTATACTTAAACTTTAAGGTTAATAAAATGTCATACTCTCTCTACCAATAATTAACTTCATCAAGATTTACTTTGGTGCTTTTGGGGAAAGATGTTTTGTTTTATTTTTAGGGGCTCGCCATGTCAGTTTTGGAGCATAATACTGAAAATGACAAACAACATGTCCTATTACCCAATATTGTGTTTTCCCATTATATAAAAAATATGGTTTGTTGTTTTGCCACTTAAAATGTATAAATTATTTTTCCAATTCAAAGTAGGGTGTTTTTTGTTAGTTTTTGTTTCAAGAACTGGTTTGTCCCTTCTTTTTGCTTTGCTACCACATTAAGGGTGTTTTGGAAATGCTCTCCAAGAGCAATTTTCAGGAGAGGCTTCAGTGAGCAAAAAAGCTTAGTCATGTATGTTAGTTACTCTTTTGTTTTTATTCTTCAGTTGGTTTAAACTTTTTCACTTCTAATGTGCCATCCTTTGGTAGGGTATCTGAAATATGTACTGTTATATGAGCTAGCAAGAATAGTTAGGAAGATTCAAAACTACCATAAAACTCTAAAGAGGGCTCTGTTGGTGTTATGGTGGATGGTAAAGTGTAGAGAAAATTGAGGCAAGTACAAATATTATAGGGCAAGTATGTGTTATCTGAAACGATCTACTCGTTCTTTTAGATGAGATGATGGCCTATGACCAAGTGCCTTAAAGTACCGACAGGGAAAGAAATAATAGTTTTGAGCAAGACAATAGGAATGGAAACAATTTATAGTGAACTGAATTTGCTTCAGTGCTGTTACATACCCTTGTCAAAAATAATTGGTCATTACTATTAATTAGGTTTTACCCTTTATTTGTTGTACCATAATGTTAGCTGTATTCAGTAATATTTAATTGTATTCAATAATATTTAAAGCAGAATTAAATTAGTTAGACACAGAATTAACCTGTTTACCTTAGTTGATTACATACCATATGGGATTTCCTTTCTGTATTTAACTTTCCATTCTCTCTTATTTTCTCTTTACTTTAGTATGTTTCTTTTGTTTATTAAAAAGATATTTCAAATTTCATAAATATATGAAAGTTTACTTGTAAAAGAGTCAAATAATATAAAGGAATAGGGAGTTTACTTTACCTTCTCTTCCCTTTTCCTGAAATAAACATTGTCAATAGTTTGATACGTGTCCTCTCAGTCCACTTCAAACAGTAGTTACGTATTTACCTGTTTTGTTTTGACCTATATGGGAACATAGATTGTCCTGAAGGGTTTTTTGTTTGTTTTGTTTTTACTTAGCGATATGTCTTGAAAACATTTCCTTCCCGACCGGGCATAGCTCAGCGGTTGAGCATCGACCTAGGATCCAGGTGATCAGGGTTCGATTCCCGGTCAGGGCACATGCCCAGGTTGTGGGCTAGGCAGCCGATCAATGACTCTCTCCTCATTGATGCTTCTATCTCTCTCTCTCCCTCTCCTTTCCTCTCTCTGAAATCAATAAAGACATATTTAAAAAAAAAAAAAAGCCCAGCCAGGCGTGGCTCAGCGGTTGAGCGTCCACCTAGGATCCAGGCCATCCAGGTTCGATTCCCAGTCAAGGCACATGCCCGAGTCACGGGCTCGATCAATGAATGACTCTCTCATCATTGATGTTTCTATCTCTCTCTCCCTCTCCTTTCCTTTCTCTGAAATCAATAAAGATACATTAAAAAAAAGAAAACATTTCCTTGTCAGTACACAGGATCAACTTTACTTACTTAGTCTGGATTATGCCATTGTATGAATGCGCTATAAATATTTTATCATTGTCCTGCTGATGGATGGAGCTATAGTTCTGAATCCTTCCATATATGTCCTTCTGTACATGTTTGAGTACTTTTAATTCCTAGAAGGGTCAAAATAATAGATATATTTTAAATTGCAATAAATATTGATACATGCTCTTCTAAAAAGAGCCCATGGACCCTCCAGCCAACTATTTGAAAGTCCTATTTCTTCACAATTTACCTAATGCTGATTATTTATTACTCTTTCACATGTTCAGGGCAAAAAGTTATATCATTGGTTTTTTTATTAGCATTTCCCTGATTACTAACCAGATTGTGCATATTTTTATATGATTATTGGCTATTTTATGTTTGTTCTGTGACTTACCTCTTTTTATCCTTTGACTTTTTCTTTGGATTGTTTTATCAGTTTTTAGAAACTTGATATACGTTATAGATTTTAATCCTTCATCTGCTACATAGTTGGAAATATTGTCTCCCAATCTCTTCTCTTTCTTTTTAAATTAATTTGATTTTTTAAATACTAGTAATTTAATAATTTAATACAAGGCTTATAATATAAACTAATTTTTTTCTCACCTATTCTCAGAGCCAACCTCTTTCAATCTTTTGGCTTTATTTTGTTCTTTGCCTTTCTAAATCATAAACTTAAGTCTGTTACCCATTTTAGATATTATCTAGTGTGTGTCTTCTCATTTTCTCAATATAGATATATCACAATTTTTGTTAGATCTGTATTCACTGTTTATGTTAGCATGACTATAATATTCATAAGTTTCAGAATGATCCTTGGTAAGGGATTTTATTTGTTTAAAATCATGTTTCTTGGCACCTTTGGGTCCTTTAACCTGGGAACTTTATTTTTCAATTGTGGAA